GACAGGAGGTTGAGCAGCTGGTCCTGGGGTGTAGCCGCAACAACCTGGGGCTGAACAGGCTCAAACCAGCGGTGATGACAGTGGACTTCAGGAAGAGCCTGCCCTCCATGGAGGACCTGTACACCTCACGGGTCAAAAGGAGGGCGGAGAGGATCACTGCTGACCCCTCACACCTGGGACATAATCAGTTCGAACTCCCCTCTGGACGGTGTTGCAGGTCACTGTGCACCAAGGAAACCAGGCACCTGGACAGTTTCTTCCCCCAGGCTGTCACTCTGATGAACACTTGACCCGCAACAGTATGATTGGACAATAACCCTCAGTGCAATACCTGTAAATATACCTCGTACAGATTATACAGATCCATACAGGTCTCTATTTTTAAGTACTCCTATGTTATTCCTATTTATCTAGTTTCACAATGAGCATTCCTTTGTCTGCCTGCATTGTTTACTGCCTGTTTATACTGCTTAGTTTGCATTGTTTGCACTGTTTGTTGCTGTTAATACTGCTTATTATTTTATACTAGTCTTTTGTTGGTTTACTGTTTACTTGCCCCTTGCATGGGGATATGTACATGCACATTGAGAGCCAATGTACCAGAGTCAAATTCCTGGTGTGTCCGACATACCTGACTAATAAAGCAGATTCAAATTATCATACCACACACATTTGCTTATTACCAGTACTGAAGAAAAAAAACAAAAAAAAACAATGTGTGTGCACCTTTCTTCCCTGACGGCCTGTCAGAGACCAGTCACCACATGCAGCGAACAAATGGCAGACAGGAGGCTGAAATCACCAAATTTCATCCAGCAAGCATACTGCTGAAAAACTGGTGAATGTGCTTTCCACCATTGCAGACCACTGGCGACTTACAGGTAAAGTCATAGCATGCACAGATGACGATGCAAGACATATGGTGGTAGCCAACATGGAGCGGCTGGACTGGAATTCTCAGCAGTGTGTGTGTGTGTGTGTGTGTGTGTGTGTGTTGGCATGGGAGAATCTTCGAATAATTGCTGAATAGTTCCCAGTGAATATCGAACAGCATTATAGCTTTAAATGCCCGTCCCTACTATTGGCCCACTTTAAGCACTGCTTCTTGGTATAGCCTAATGGCATTAATTGAAAGCTGAAAGGCCTTGGCAGAGGATTGCACTCTGAGTGCTTTCTAGTGGTTATAGTTAAATTAAATCAAGAAAAACTACTTGGATGGGGAAAGAATGTGGACTGTAACTGTTACCAATAACCCAAAAAACTGCCTTTCAATTGACTTACCCTCTATGCTTTGTGCAGGCTGTTTTGGGACAGGACTGATCTCTTTGGTTGGAGTCTCTGCAGCTTCCTTCACCTTCTTCTCTGATTTGGCTTTTGATGGCTTTTTCTCTTTTTCCATCATAGAGGGAGGCTGACCCAACTCCGTCTAAACAGCATAAACAACAGATTGACAGGATTTAGATAGTATAAGATGTTAAAACTAACATTTTAAATAAGTCATAATTCAAAGAAAGAATGTCTAAAGCCTCATTTCCACCAGAGGAACGTTTCCTGGGGAGCAGGAACATTTTTCAGAACGTAGTTCTTCTACATGCATTTAAATCGGAGGAAACAGGGTCTAAATTTAGTCAAATTCATAATTCAACTCACTTTGAAAACCCACCTTTCTGAAGTTATGTGGTCTAAAATTCACTCTGAAATTCTCAATAATTAGTTTTAAGTTGTGCAATTTCATAACTTTAATTTTTACTATACATTATTTCAGGACTCAAGTTCAGACAGGAAATTTTAGTGCCTAAATATTCAAGAACTACATTCAAGTTCTTCTATTTCAACACACTCAAGTCAGCTCTAAAAATTAAAGCCAACTCAAAAATCTGCATCTTAAATACACTTGTCCAAATTCAGATCCAAATTCACAATGTATACATTCAGAACTGACATTTTGGACACCAAGAAGAAGCACTCTATCACAAATGGATGTGACTGAGCTCCGTGCATCCTTAGCTACCAAACAGCCTGCTGTCTGAATGACGAAAGTCATTTTTAGAATTAATGTGCTCATACGTGTTTTGACAGTGAGTAATATATGTTAATAGATGTGGAGTAGATCAACACTGATAAGTGACTCTTTTGGGATCAGCAGCAGAAATGAGGAGAATACAAAAGAGTCAAAGTGACCATCAGTAGTGGCTAAATATGAGGAAAACTTTAATAAAAATAATAATGATAATCTGAATTCTTTCCCAGCTCTGTTAAGAGTTGATTTTTGTTCTTCAGGTGTCATATCCTCAAACTGTCTGATCTAATGAAGAAGAGATAGAAGAGCTAGTACATCAGCCATGCTGTGAATTCATCCTGACCTGCTTCTTCACAAGAGCACCATCTTGAGAAACAGGACCCAAAGCCAGATCCAACAGCCAGGCTGAGTATGGAACACTGTTCTCCACGGCTGCTCTGAATTTATGGTCCCATTTGGCATAGAGTATTGTACCTCCAATGCCACCACCAACTGTCACCAAGCCAACAGCAACCACTTTAGCAGCACCCCTGTTGTGGAAAAGGACAGCAAAGGATAGATATGAATCATTTGATTTGATTTGATTTATTCATTCAAGCATGTAAAACAGTTGATATGTCAACACATGTAATTTCACACATATCCAACAATAATAATCCAATATCAATTTACTTATACCTAGTACATGCTTGAACGGAGTAGGAAGAAGTTAGACTTATCTAGTCCTACCCCATGACATCATCTTACAACTTTTAAATCCTAAGCAGTATCTCTAGATAAATAATTATCCTCTACACCACACAAGTAATATACTACAGAATTATTACAGTGTTAACATTCTACATAATTACATTCATAGATAATTATCTTCTACCTATTTTTTATGTCTACACTTAAATTATTCCATAGTTTTACCCCACTTATGGAAATACAGAATCTTTTTTTGGTTGTACGTATAGCATGAATTTTTTAATTTAACTGACCCCTTAAATTGTATCCCCCTTCCCTTTCATTAAATAGTTTTTGAATTCCACCAGGTAATAAATTGTTCCTGGCTTTATACATAAACACAGCAGTCTTATATCCCACTAAATCAAAAAATTTTAACAATTTAGACTGTATGAAAGCTACATTGGTGTGATCCCTGTACCCCATCTTATGCACAATTCTTATCGCTCTTTTTTGTAATATATACAATGGTTGAAGTGAGCTTTTGTATGTATTTCCCCAGTTTTCAACGCCATACTCTAAGTATGGTAAAATCAATGAAGAATACAAAATGCGTAGTGCTTTCCCGTCCAAAATATATCTAACCCTTGCCAATCATAGGTAAATATGTAATATTACAATATCTCACTATCATCAAGATGACTGAAGATTCAAAATCTGTATTTGCCGTTTATGCATAAACAGATAGTCTAGGCATATAGGAATTCTTGTGCAGGGCTCTCCTGGAGTCAAGTAAAGAGTTTAAAGCCAACTCACTTGAAATGTTGCTCAGTTTATCTCTGTGTAGTGTGTGATAGTATATTACCTGGAGCCTCCTGCTGTGTAGTGCCGGCAGTGTTGCAGATTTATCGGAGAGGTTCTCTGACAGCTCTTTAGAAGAGAGGACAGAAGAGATATACAGAGATAGTGAGGAAGAGAGAAAATCAATATTAGCCATAGCTAGTTCATAAAATGACACTGCTTGGCCATAACCACCTGAAACATGCACAAGTATACATGTTGACATGAGCCCCTTTTACACAGAGACTGCAGGAAACTGCTGATATATTGACCCTCCTCCAAGTTGAGTTTCTTTATTTAAACCTGTTTACACAGAGCTTAAAAAGATGGCAAAATAGTTAATACTCATAAATATTAATTAGTGAAATTCACCGAGGCTTTGGTTAAATGTCCAACATCATTCCCGTCCAGTGAATCGTGTTTGAGTTATGAGTTTAAAACCCCAGATGATAACTCTCGTGTTCGCTGCCTGCGGATCTCTCCCTCCTGCCACTCGCCCTGTTTCCATACAAAAATCTAAAAAGTCCCACATTAAAAACAAAATCCGACCACACAGCATTATATTCGAGTATATTCTTTGCCAAATTTATCCATATAAAAACCATGTTGTTTCCAGGTGGATCTGAGACAAAACCTCTTCAGTAAAGCATTCAAAACTGATTTTATACAGCTAAAATACAGTTTTCCATGGGCAACAGTCAGGATGATTTGGGACAAGGACTGGCTGCAATTTGAGAGATATTTCAGTTCACCAGTACAAGGGACCTTCTGGGACAGAAAAAAAAATATTTCACTGCTCTTAGTTTTAAAATACGATGTTTTTCGGTTCAACGGCCTCCTGCTCCCATTGGGACCACACACCCCCACCAATACTGATTTTTCACTTAGGAACCGCACAAACCATGAACTAAGCTTGAGCCTGCCACTGTACGATATATAATATCGCATTTGTTGAGTGGAGTGCACGACTTGAAAAGCCTTCTAAGTAAATCTGTAGTTTCAACTAAACTAGAAATGAATCTTATCTTATCTGCAATGTTAATATATGGGTACTTTACCTTTTACTTAACGTTACAGGAAATCATAATGTAAAGTAAAATAAAGAGACGGGCTGAGAGCAGCCTAGACAGGTCTGACCTGACCTCCACACTAACTCGTTAGCTTAATTATGACTGACATGTCATTAGCAATCTGTCACTGGAAGCTAACGTTACAAAGCAAGCACTGCTATTATTGTCTATTATGTTAGTGGTTTCTGATGATAACTTCTATAAGAGTCGTGTCGATTCTAAAGCGTCACGTTAGATGGCATTTTAGCGTCAAAAATCCGCTACAGCAGCCTGAGCCAAATTGTGGGTCACTGAATGACAACACGCCAGTGCTAACATGGCTCACAGTTGAAAAGAGGTGATTAACTGTGAAGGCACGACTCTTACCCGGGCTGTTGTATTAGCTCGTCTCAAGCAAGCCCTCAGCATGTTCCTCGGTCACTTTATTTTCAAATCCTACAAAATTTATCCTGTACAGTATAAGTATTCCACTCCCTTATCCCCTCTCGATTTTTTTTTTATTTCTTCTTCGTTTGCTGCTCCTTCTTCTTCCTCTGAGGCTTATTGGCAAATAACGAATTGGTGCATTACCGCCACCAACTGGTAAGGAGTGTGTCTCAAGAGGCTAGTATTAACTTCTTCTTCTTCTTTCAGCTGTTCCTGTTAGGGGTCGCCACAGCGAATCATCTGTTTCCACCCAACTCTATCCTCAGCATCCTCTACTCTCACCCCAATTAGCTTCATGTCCTCTTTTAGCACATCCATATATCTCCTCTTCTCCTTCCTCTTGACCTCTTGTCTGCAAGCTCCATCTCCAACATCCTTCTACCAATATAACCACTATCCCTCCTCTGCACATGTCCAAACCATCTCAATCTGGCCTCTCTGACCTTGTCCCCAAAACAGCCGACCTGAGCTGTCCCTCTGATGTGCTCATTCCTAATCCTGTCCATCCTGGTCACTCCTAAAGAGAACCTCAACATCCTCATCTCTGCTACCTCCATCTCTGCCTCTTGTCTTTTCCTCACTGCTACAGTCTCTAACCCATACAGCATAGCTGGTCTCACTACTGTCTTGTACACCTTTCCTTTGATTCTTGCTGACACTCTTCTGTCACACAACACTCCTGACACCTTTCTCCACC